ACTGCCTCAGGCAACGCCAGGCGCATGACTGCCTCAGGCAACGCCAGGCGCATGACTGCCTCAGGCAACGCCAGGCGCATGACTGCCTCAGGCAACGCCAGGCGCATGACTGCCTCAGGCAACGCCAGGCGCATGACTGCCTCAGGCAACGCCAGGCGCATGACTGCCTCAGGCAACGCCAGGCGCATGACTGCCTCAGGCAACGCCAGGCGCATGACTGCCTCAGGCAGCGCCAGGCGCATGACTGCCTCAGGCAGCGCCAGGCGCATGACTGCCTCAGGCAGCGCCAGGCGCATGACTGCCTCAGGCAGCGCCAGGCGCATGACTGCCTCAGGCAACGCCAGGCGCATGACTGCCTCAGGCAGCGCCAGGCGCATGACTGCCTCAGGCAGCGCCAGGCGCATGACTGCCTCAGGCAGCGCCAGGCGCATGACTGCCTCAGGCAGCGCCAGGCGCATGACTGCCTCAGGCAGCGCCAGGCGCATGACTGCCTCAGGCAGCGCCAGGCGCATGACTGCCTCAGGCAGCGCCAGGCGCATGACTGCCTCAGGCAGCGCCAGGCGCATGACTGCCTCAGGCAGCGCCAGGCGCATGACTGCCTCAGGCAGCGCCAGGCGCATGACTGCCTCAGGCAGCGCCAGGCGCATGACTGCCTCAGGCAGCGCCAGGCGCATGACTGCCTCAGGCAGCGCCAGGCGCATGACTGCCTCAGGCAGCGCCAGGCGCATGACTGCCTCAGGCAGCGCCAGGCGCATGACTGCCTCAGGCAGCGCCAGGCGCATGACTGCCTCAGGCAACGCCAGGCGTACGACTGCCTCAGGCAACGCCAGGCGCACGACTGCCTCAGGCAACGCCAGGCGCACGACTGCCTCAGGCAACGCCAGGCGCACGACTGCCTCAGGCAACGCCAGGCGCACGACTGCCTCAGGCAACGCCAGGCGCACGACTGCCTCAGGCAACGCCAGGCGCATGACTGCCTCAGGCAACGCCAGGCGCATGACTGCCTCAGGCAACGCCAGGCGCACGACTGCCTCAGGCAACGCCAGGCGCATGACTGCCTCAGGCAACGCCAGGCGCATGAGTGCCTCAGGCAACGCCAGGCGCATGACTGCCTCAGGCAACGCCAGGCGCATGAGTGCCTCAGGCAACGCCAGACGAGCTACTGCCCAGTAACAACAGCACCGTAAATTTAAGACAAAAACACACACTTGTTGTGAAATTTATGTCAGGAATTTACACCGAGTCTTTCCTGAGTGCTTTGTCGACGTCTGAGTCTCTGGACCAGACTTACGTCTGAGTCTCTGGACCAGACTTACGTCTGAGTCTCTGGACCAGACTTACGTCTGAGTCTCTGGACCAGACTTACGTCTGAGTCTCTGGACCAGACTTACGTCTCAACGTCTAATGTTTACATCATTATGACGTAACGTTACATCATTATGACGTAACGTTACATCATAATGATGTAAAGTTAATCATGAAAGTTATCATTAATGTTAAGGCAGAAGCACCGCTCCCCCCCCCCCCGCCACTCCCCTGTCGGATTCTGGGAAAAATAATGCATGACGCAATTTTTTAAGGAAACGTATTTGAGGCACGCGTCATTACTGACCCTGACGCAATCTACGCCAGACTGACGCAGTTCTTGAGACTGTTACGTTAATAATACCAATTATAAGGTGCGTCGTGACGCATGAGTATGTCCTTGAGGACCGCGTGACGCCGGCAGCAATGTGCCGTTACTCACAACGGTACGTTACTGGTCCCTCAGTACGTCCCAGCTGGTGATGTCATCTACTATGGTGACATCACTTACTGTGGTGACGTCACTGACCTCATCATGAAAGCAATATGAAGTAAGGAATAACATAAGTCATTAACTGGTGAAGGGATCAACCAGGGGCCAGATTCACGAAAGTACTTACGAACGTGTACATCTTTCCTCAATCTTTCACGGCTTTGGTTACATTTATTAAACAGTTTTCAAGCATGAAAACTTCCCAATCAACTGTTGTTATTGTTATAAACAGCCTCCTGGTGCTTCGCAGCTCATTAACTGTTTAATAATTGGAAACAAAGCCGCCAAAGACTGAGAAAAGATGTACAGGTTCGTAAGTGCTTTCGTGAATCTGGCCCCTGGCTGTGAGCCCGGGCGAGAGGGCGCGAGCCTCACACTAAACTTATAATCACACAGATTAAGACGAAAATAAAACCTCACTTACGCACTCAAGGATGATTCATGTGAGTAGAATGAGTAATTTTAGTCCTGGTAATTATATTTACATAATATAGTTGTAATTATAATGGTTTATATGTATATATCTGGTGAGATGGATCACACCAACAACAATAGACTGATAGATCAATAACAAGGAAGTCACAGTGTAATTAAAGTGTATAATTGTATATATTGTAATTAACTTTGATGGTTTGCGCTGTTAAATATCTGATGAGAAGTTCTTGAGTTAAATTTATCTTATTCTTTAATAAACTTCAGAGAATAATGCATGTTGAGTTTACACCCGAGAAGAAAACTATTTTTATATTGTTGTATTCACTCGAGGTAAACTTTCGAGGACATGTACGTAAGTGGACCTTGAGAGTCCTTAGTGAAGGCTGAGAGTGGCAGACTGTTAGTACCACTTGAGAGGTGGATGAGTGGCCATGACGGTCACTTGAGCGGTGGATGAGTGACCATGACTGTCCTTGCCCGGCAAGGACCTTGTTCCAGTGAACACTTAACACAGTCCCAAGCCGTTCAAAACAGGTTAAAAGTTCGTCCTGAAATTCGAAGGATGGCACCACGCACCGCCACACACGTCAAGGCGACACTAAGATTCACCTTAACAGAACCAGCAGTATCAGGGAGAGGGTCAACACGTCCCCTCACACCGCTCGAGAAACACCTGAAAGGCAGCCTGGAGGTGGAACTTGACCACAGCACGGTTGATCTGAAGCAGCTGGACGCCCACCAGGTCCGACAGCTGCACATGTAGCACGTCCACCAGGGCGACACCAACTGATGATCCACAGGCACCGTAAATGCCAGACCAGGCGACAATGTCCTCTTCACTGGAGGACCAGAAGTCCCCATAGCAAAACCAAGCGTCACCCCGTCAGTGGCAAACCACCACTCAGCAGGACAACCAGCAATCACCCGACGTAAACACTAGCCAGGAGCGGAGACCTCAGGAACGTCCGACCCGGCCGTTGGTCGCCACTCAACTCCTCATATAGATAACATATATAGATATATGTTATATAGACGTCATATAGCCATTAGATAACGTCATATATCTAACGTTAGATAGATAATATTCCAGTTGTGTGTTTAGCAAGTGTTCTTCTCTTCTTGTGCTGTTGTCGTTCAAGGAAACTAGTGGTTCATAGTTGGTGTAATTGTGTACCAGCGCCCGATGCTGCTCCATCACTGCACATCTTCTCCATTACTCTATTTTCTTAATCTGTGATAGATGTGTGGTATGTAAATGTCTACATTCCTCCTCTTAATTGCAAGCTTTGCATTCCCCTGCCATACTAGGGATGTCATCCCCGGGTATTGTATCACCTGCCACCCAGTTGATATACACTCGCTGAACTTGAAGTTGGAATGTTTGCATTAATAATACAATATAACATTTTTGGCGAGATGTTGATTAGGTAAATGTTCTTGTTGCAAGGTCTTGGTGGCACCTCTCAAGTCAGTATAACATGTTTCTGTTCAGGAAGAGCATGTTCCTAAGTAACCCGTCCTCACACTAGGCTGGGTAAAGCAGCGGCCGTTCTCCAATTTCTCCAACACACACATTCATCAATTTTAACTTACTATTAAAAATTGGTTGGTCTCGTATATAAATTAATATTATTAATAATTAAAATTCTATGTGTAGTTAAGCATAGGTTAGGTTAGGTGATCAGGTTCTGTTGGCGATTATTTGTATTCGAAGAACGTGGGTGAAGCATTTATAACATTGTGGTTCGAACAGAGGACGTGAACGAAGCACTTGTTCTGGAAGTGTTCGGACGTTATCAGTTGCGAGTCGTGTGTAAACAGTTCATTCATAAACAAAGTGCTTTGGTGGCTGGATTAACGAACTTGGCCCTTTGTTTATGAGGACGGGCTGTCCAAAATGTTTTAAGTGGCTAGCATCCGTAAGGCAGAGTGGCCACTTAAGCCTCCAGATAACTGTGGAATTCCCTGTCTAATGCAGCTCGAGATTCTTGTTGGTCTACTGAGACCTCTATGAAGCTCTCAGATACCAAGCTATTCTTACGCAGCATTTACACAGAAAAAACTTAACACCATAAGAATCAATGAGACAGCAGAAGGTCTATTGACCTATAAGTACTTTAGCTTGAAACACTCAAAAGGGTCCTACGTTACCCGGTAATTTGTTTCACAACCTTGTTACCAAACTAGAATTTATCCAGATCTTTCCTAACTCTAAACTTATCCAATATGTATCTATTGGTTTTGGTGTTGTATCATGTCTTAATGACCAAACCACACATCAGAAGAGGGAGAAACTACGACATTTCGGTCCGTGCTGGACTATTAGGAAGTCGTATAACTCACATTCGACTTAATGGTGCAGGACTGACCGAAACGTCATTTCTCAATTTTCTGATGTGTGCTTTGGTCACCACGGTAGTGCTCTCTTAAAACAATTATCTCAAACATATCACAACCATTTTTCACGTAAAAACGAAAAAAAAAAATTTACTTATTTTTGATGAAGATAAAGCCTCCCGAGAGGTGGAACGGGCATGAATAGCCCGTAAGTGGTAGATTTTTTGTAGTGAATGTGATTATTGGGGAACATAGTTGAATGAAATTATATATAGAATTAATAACCAATTCAATATGTCAACTCTTCATAATGTTCTTATCGCAATAATGTGGTTCTGTTGCTGCTCGAGTCTCTAAATAAACAGCGACAAATCTTCAACAAGACTGAAAACTTCAATACAAGAGACAATGGAACAAGGAAAACATGTGAAATATTTGACAGTTTATTTAAGTTTAAGACAATAATTCCAGGAAATCAAACTGGAGATTATGCAATTAATAATAGATTCTTATAAAATTCATCCTAAAATGCTTATAATCCAACCAATTATAATTCATTGTTAATTCATAATTCAATGTGACGGGGGACAGGTACCCAGTTTATATATATATACAGTATATTTTAGACTCTTATCGTGGTCACCCCAGGGTCGAAATACTGGGCCTTCCCAGACTATAACCCCACAACACGGTGACTAACGCTGCATATAAATAGGTACAAGCTAGGTACCTACTTACTGCTAGGTGGAGAGGGGCATCAGGCGACAGTAAACGCGCCCAATTATCTAAGTTATTTTGGTAGATGCCTTATGGCACATGGTTGAAGAATGCCTTATGTTTGTGGGCAAGATGTTTCTTTTTTAAGTCTAAGATAACATCACCAATTTCTGAAACATGTTCATTAAAGTCTTGAACCTTAGAGTGGAAATGCTGTTTCTCTGCAATATGTATATCTTTTAACTCTGAAAGTTTCTCGCTAAAGTCTTGGACTTTAGATTCTAAATGTTGCTTTATGTCAAACTTGCTGGTCTCCGTGGGACAATAAGTGGACTCCGTCTCGATGGATGTCAACAAAGTGGTGGTCACTTCGACGGTGTGATAGTGGAAGGTCGTCGTGGTCACATATATTCGGCTGATTACGGGTGTGGTGACGGTGACGAACTCTGGCACTCGAGAGGTTCCCCTAAGTGTCTTGTAATCAGTAGAAGTGCAAATACGTGTCCTGTACAGCGTTTCCGTCAACTGTTTCGTGTCCGTATTGGTGGTTGTGAGTGTTGAAGTTCGCGTTTTGCTCCAGTACACAAAACCCACATGAATATTGGTCATCATGATGTTGCAAGTACGTGTCACAAATTGTGTGTCAGATATGGTGTCATTACTGGCCACAAAGACGGTAGAGGTGAGAGAGTTCGTGGCTGTCACCGTCACGAGATCCGGAAAATCAGTCATTCTCGAAGTCACAATCACTGTTGATGGTTGCATGATGGTTGAGGTTATGTTAATGTCTTTATACACGAATATGTGTGTGTACAAGGTGACGAGGGACGTTACTGGAGAGATCTCGGTATGACCACTGGTGATAGTGTGGACAGTGTCCTCACAAGTTTGTAGAGGGGCAGTGGGCTGGTGCCAGGCCAGGGCCGCCCCCACAACACAACACAGGAGCAGCACACGCATTATCGTGTACTGTACTTAACCGCTGCACCACCAAACACAAGACCAGGAGTGAATGTGTCCAAGAGGCTCCGGGATATATATAATCGGACGAGGCCTAGGGTGTGGTGCTGCCCACTCACGAATCCTGTGCAGAGAACTATGTCTTATTTCCAAAAATAAAAACCTAATATATTTATGATCTATTTTCCCTTCGGGAATCTTAATTTTAAAATAGGAAAACCATTGATATAATAAACATCTTATTTCAGATTCATTACTTTAAGCATTACGTTTGGAATAGTTCTCGTATTCATCATCAGATCAACTGAAGCCACAAACAAATGACTCACTGAATACAACTAAAGATAAGAAATCAAACGACACAAAGTTATAAAACACTTAAGTTCACTCAAAGTGATCAAAGCGAACACAAATTTATAACTATCACATAAATAATGAAAGCTTAATAAAAACTTAACTACTACAACAAACCACACTATTAACACTTACGTGAAGTAATCCGAGTGAAACTTGATACTTAACACATAGATACTCAACACTAATACAACTATTAAAATAATGACTTCACACTTACGAAAAATGTATATAAAACACAAGCCAAATAGAAAACAATTATAAAATGCTAGTCAAAATCTTATGAAAACTTAAATATTAAATAAAACTAAACACCAAAAAGTGTATTATATGTTTAAAATAAAAGACTATAATAATATACAATATCAACACTTGAAACAAGTAAAAAAAAAAGACAAAACATGGTAAACTAAACAATTTTAAAAATTAAAAAACCAGCATGAACTATAATAAAATTACAGGTCCTACTGTGCGTTCTACAGTGTAGAATTGAGCAGCCGAATGGTTGCTATTTAACAGAGGCCGCACCTCCCTGATATATAAGGATTCCATTATTCTCAAATCCGATTGGCCATTCATTCAAGTGTCCAGAATTTTAAAATCGGATTCCAGCAGAGAATGATTCAACTCAAGACAATGATTTCTAATCTCCGAGAATGCTGGATTGGATAATGGTAATCTTGTCCTGAATGATACTCCCCGGTGCTCAAGTATCCTAATCTTAAAGTTCTGAATGGAACTTCGATATATCCAGCATTATAGCTGGAACAATTATACATATATACGATACTAGAGCACAGGGAAGGTTGGCACTTTATCTTTAAATTTAAAATAGGAGCCTATTGTATTTGTATTGACAAAAATAAATCGAAAGTCTACTTGAGGATAACAATGGTGTAAAAGTTTCCTCAATCGACCTCTTACAGAAAAATTAATAGTGCCGTAAAAGGGTAATTTGATATATTTAATATCCCTTTCTACCGTAGTAATCCTACAAGGGTGAAAATTTTTATTAAAGATGTTCCTTATAAAGGTATATACTATATGCGAAGGATAACCATTATTTGAAAAAAAAAAAATCACAAGGCATTTAATTTCTTTATCAAAGTTAGACCAATTTGAACAAACAAATAGCCTCTATTCAGTAGAGTATTAATTGCATTTTTCTTAAAATTATCAAGAACAAAAGAATTAAAATTTAAACCTAACCAGTAAAAGTTGGTTTTCTATAAACATTAGTGTTGAACCCATTAAGGCTATTCACTTTGACATCAGGAATGACAATGAATTATCCACTTTACGCTCTGCAGTGAAACGTATATTATAAAGTTGTGCATTAAGATACTCTCTAAATTTCTCAATATGACATTGGTCCTTAAATAACAAAAAAGTGTCATCTACATATCTCCTGTACATGACTGGTTTAAAGTTCAAAAGACATTTATCAAGCCAGTTTCTCTCTTGAAAACTCAAAAAAGCATTAGCAAGTGCAGGACCTAATGGAGAACCCATTGCTACTCCATCAATTTATTTATAATATTTATTATTTACATAAATAAAAATTATTATTATTATTATTATTATTATTATTATTATTATTATTGCTTAAATAAAAATTATTATTATTATTATTATTATAATAAAAATGGAAATGTTCGTTTGTGCATAACCGCTAATCTCCGAAAGTTCTTCATCGGTTCCTTTGAAATTTTCACACAACGTTCCATTCACATCCGAGCAAGTTTTTATATACATACTATATAGATGTCTCGTCTGAGACGGTAAAAAAAAACATGCTTTTTCTGAAAAACTGTTTTTTTTAAGTGAGGGAAATCTTCGAAACCTCGTTACCGATTGCTTTGAAATTTTGACACAACATTGCATTTGAAACGGCGTGTCGTTTTATATATCTACTATATACATGACTCATTTATGACAGGAAAAAAACTAGCTTTTTTGGAAAAACAGCGCCATCTGTTGGACGTAAGAGCAACACACGCTGTAATCTCCGAAAGTTCTTCACCGATTGCTTTGAAATTTTAACACGACGTTGCACTCGAATAGGCGCGTCCTTTTATATACTTACTATATAGATGCCACACCTGTGACAGGTAAAAGCGTGTGTTTTGGTAAAACAGCGCCATCTGTTGCACATAATAGCAACATGCACGCTATACTAAATGTGTCACGAATTCCATTTCAATGTTTCCGATTGCATTGATAAATTTTATTTTCTTTGATTTCGATTTATTTTATTTCTTATTGAATTATTTTGTGTGACATTGTGTTGGAATTGAGCTGTGTTGTTTACCATACCGTTCATTTCGTAAGTATAAGTATAGATGCCACACCTGTGACAGGTAAAACTATGCTTTTCTTGACAAACAGCGCCATCTGTTGCATGTAAGAGCAACACACATGCCATACTAAATATGTTACAATTTCATTTCAATGTTTCTGATTGCATTGATAAATTGAATTTTCATAGATTTTGATTTATTTTCATTTTGATTTAATTTTTTTTGTGTGAATTGCATTGTAATTGAGCTGTGTTGTTTACCATACCGTTCATTTCGTGAGTATGGTTTATTTTTCAATTTTTTCCTATTTTCATTCCATTTTTTATCTGTTTTTCTTATATTTCAGTGATAGGAACATCAGATCACTTGATATTCCTAATTTTCTGATGGGAACATCAAGACCATTTGGGAAGGCATCGGACGAGTGTAATGACCGCTTTACCCTGTTGTAATAACCGCGGCCTCTATTGTAATAACCCAATGTTCCACAGTATTAATCCCTGTTATCTTGTGATCTCTCGTAATCGTTCTGCACGCTCTGTGTTGTAAATCTCTTTCTCTCTTCACTCAATACCCCAGCTCAGCATGACCCCTCACTGGACGGCCACGTATATAAGAGGAATATTAAATGAGGAAGATACACCAAAGACAAGGGTTATTAGTTAAAAAAAAACAATAACAAAAATCATTAAACTGCCACCACTTTCCCGACCCACCATACCTGAATGTGTCGATCACCGATCCCCCAGGAAGGCAAGGAATCAGTAACCATGGGACTCCCAGGGTAGTATGAATTTCAATATTAAATTTTTGGAAAATTAGTTTGTTTAATTTACGTTACTTATTTGAATCCAAGGGTAACTTTAGTATCTATTAATTGTAGGAGAATATGGGGGCTTCCAATTCAACACACCAAAATGACAAATTAGAAAGATATATCAAAGGGGAGTTAAGTGAATACCACTGGACAAGTTATACAATTTATTCTATGAAACGTGTAAATTTTTTTGTCCCCTAACTCCCCTTGCCACTTCGGGGGGGTATAGGGTTTTTATGTAGCTTCGGAGCCCGATCCCCCCAGCCATAGGGCATGGCGAGACGGGCCCCTAAGCATACCTAATACCCTAACACACACAAACTAAAATAAACATATATGGCAGATCTCATCACACCCACAAGAGTTAAGATGATACTAATAATACATAATAATAACCTGAAAATAAACAAAAACATTAATGGAAAATTCTTTTATAGTTGGTTTTTTCTATATGGGACACAGCACACATAGGTAGGGGTGCACAGTATAACATTTAAAAAAGAACAAACAAACGCTGAAGGCCAAAGCAGCAGGCTGCCCAATCGGCAGGGATGATGATTTGACGTCGGCATACATGGAAAACTAGACACAGTGGATGCTCCTAACTCGGCCCCGGAGCGGGAGGGTTATCATGTATGCGCATGGGGTCCCTCCGGACGCCGCCTTATCTACTCGCGGGCTCTGCCAGGTCATCCACCCTCTTGTGAGACGCCATTAGGAGAAGTGGTACTCCAGATGACGAAACTGCTTAGATAGTTGGCTACCAGCTGACTTGGCTGCGGTTCACCTAAGCGTGACTATAGTTACCCTTATGCACCCTGTGCACAGTGACCCCGGGGCTAGGGGGGCCTGCCCCTGGACGTGGCCTTGGACCATATTCTGTATATAGAATACGTCCAGGTCAGGGCCTTCACGGAGCAAATCTCGAGATCGCTCTTGGTGAGACCCATACCTTGTAGACCACGCGCACTCTCCTTGCACCATCCACCTCTCCAATTAAGGGTTATTGAGGAGGCGGATACTGTAGGCTTACCGGTATACTCCCGGACCTTCTGCAGGATCTCGGGGGTGCCGTATTTGTCGCACTTGCTCTGATGTGGACGGGAGAGTGGGAAGTTATCAGCTGAGACCTGGGTGTCTAATATGAAGGCCTCATCACCTTTGCAAGCTATAATATCTGGCTTGCAGAAGGTCCCTCCGTCTGGTATACGGACCTCGCGCTCCACCTCAAAGCCTCTTTGCCGCAATCGGCCAGCTACGAACCGGGTGATGTCGTCGTGACGTTTCACCCGAGCCCCGTGTGTCTTATGGCAGGCCTGGGATATGTGGCCCAGGGTTCCTGGTTTCCGACAAGCGTCACAGAGACCAGAAGCCTCGGGTCTACCCCTAGCCGCCCTAGACGGCGTGGCTACAGCGTTTGCCCTAATTTGGACGGCGTGGGCAAAATCTCCCCCGCTTAGCAAACGGGTACCGGACGCAACCCACTTGTGACAGGATGGGACCTCACAAGAGGAAGCGAGGCCGGCGCCGTCGACCATGCTGTACAGTTTTGCCTTCCATCTTCTAGCGCACTCGGTCGTCCTGCTGGATGGCGTTCCAGCGGCCGTGGTCGGGTCTACCCACCGGCGCATTCTCGCTTGGAATGCGGGTAGGAGAGCCGCTGCCACCACCACTGGGTCCGCTGATCCGGTCAGCGCCCCGAGCCGCTTGTTCTTTTGTAGCCGGATCGATGTGGCAAAGTCGGGTATCCCTAGTCCACCGTCCTTGACGTCGGCGTGGATAAAGGCGTTGGGGGTGTCATGGGGCAGCCGCAGCCAGCCACGAGTGGCGTGTCGCAGCCGCCGGTCCAACCTCGCCAACTCCGTTTTAGCCACGTGTCCGAGGACAAGGCGGTGGTTCATTTTGGGGATTAGGTGGTGCTTTAGTAGGTATAACCTCTGTTGGGGTTTGAGCGGCGCCTTGGTGATGTTGGTCAGGCCGTCCTCAAACAGGGAACCATAGGATAAGCGTCTCAATTAAGACAATTTGAACATATACCGTA